ACATCTTTTCACAAAGTTGGTGGGTAATAGAGTCAACTAATCGGCTTCGTACCGTACTATCTTTTAGAAATGGTATGAGTTTGTCCTTTGTGTGTATAAGGACAAGATAAAAACAATCGTGCTCAACAAGCTTCTTTTGATTGTTGAATGCTGGAATAACCTGAAGTCTCTTCAGCATTTGTTGAGGCTTGGGCAGTCTTCACACATATGTGGACAAGGTTGTAATCACTGAATACCGCTTCAGATCACATATTCGCCAGTCTCTAATCTTCGGTTTCAGTCTTCGACTTCCGCTAAAGGTTCTTTGGTGTGAGTTTTGTCTTCTTGAATTATCACTGTCACTGATGGATTTACAATGCATGTGCTCAGCGATCACTGAACAGACTCAGTGATGATCGCTGGAACTGAAAAAACAAAAACATAAATACTTCGTATAAGGTAAAAAGGATTATCAACAAATCAATGAGAGAGATGATCAACAAGATCCCAAACAATAACCAACCTGAGCCTTTGATTCTAAGATTAATTGATATTTCCCAAAAAAAAATTGGTTGAACCCTAAAAGTTTAAAACGGTGATGAAAACATTAACATGAAGTGATATGGAGGTCCAACTTGTTGATATTGATTTGCATATAATGTTACTCCGTTTGGTTAACATTGTGACACCAAATAATTTCAATCTATATATTAAAGGTATATCATATGATGTTTTTTACAGTGAAAAGGATTAACGATGCCAAGTAAAAATGATAAATATTAATTTAGAATTAATTATTGATTGACTTTGCCTTCTATAAATACTCGGAAAAACGATTTTATATAAATTATTAGTATTTCTTGAATTCATTGTTATTTCATATGATAAGAACATTATATTAAAAAGCATTTGTACTTATCGAGGGCTTCTTCTTTTTACATCTCACACAAGGCCTTTAAAATGTCAAGAACGGGCGTGCTTGGGTCACAACTAGGGGGCTGTTTGGCAGTTGCTGAATGATTTATGCAGAATAGTTAAGAGGTCAGAATGGTTAAGAGGGTCAGAATGGTTAAGTGCTGAATGAAATAATGTTGTTTGGTAACTGTTCTCTGAATGACAGTAAAATTACCATTTTAACCCTCATTCACATTTTCTTTGAATTTGAAGTTGGATAATGTGTTAGGGCCGATTGCCAATCTGCTTCATCGATCGCTCTTTCATTCAAGAACCCTAACCCTACTTCTATCGAACAATCTGCTTCATCGATCGCTCTTTCATTCAAGAACCC